TCTAAGATGTTGGAAGCATACATATTAATGAGGTTAAAGGAGATATAACACTAGATTATTAAAAAGAAAGAACACAAACTCATAGAAATGATATTGAAAGTACCTTTTATGAATAAAGTGTCATGCTCCAAGGTATTATTTTTATAAACAGGAGAAGGTTTACAGCAGTCCCATACACTCATAAGAAGATCTTGGGTAGTAGAAACACCAGGAAATTTTATTTCCACACAATCAGATCATCTTACATCAGTTATAAGGTTACAATCTTTATACATAGTCAAGAGGGTCATTAAGATTTCTTTTCTGGTCATCCTAATGAGCCACATTATAGTATTCTTTCTCTTTGATAGAATGTTAATATTAAATGGAAAATTCAGAATTCATCAGCAATTGAAGTCAAAACTTCCTATCTTTACCAATTATGCTATTAAGGAAGCTGGGGTTAACAAATTAGCCATATTTAACTTATTCTATAAATATGTTATCTTCAGCTGTTAACTATCATTTGGCAAAGAAAAATTTCATACATTTTAGTTTTAAAAATTTGATCATGAATTTTTATGCCTTTTCTTCTTCTTCTAAAGGATATCAATAGAGTTTAAACATGACCATGACCACCAAGCCCTCTTTATTTAAAAAAAATCATATATCATTTACTTATCAATTCAGAAATATAAAAATGCATATGTAAATAAATAAATAAATAAATAAATAATAAATAAAAATTACAATTGTATCTCATTGAAACTTTACCTTCAAGTTTGTGTGTTTCTATGTTGATTGACTAACTGTGTATTTCCAAAGGAAGAGCAGACAGTCTGAACTTCATAGAGAATTGATTACAGATGGTTAGGAACAAAACATATCTTCCATGTTGATGACTGTAGAAATAAAACCATTTTGTTAATATGACAGAGTACTGCATGAAACATTGCATGTTTAAATACAACATGTACAATGCCAAAAAAGATCATGAAAATATTTGTTTTTAATCTCAAAAAATTGTTTTTAACATTAACTCCAGATGAGAAAAGTTCATCATGTTATCTATAGATAATAAACAAGCACAACTACTGTATTAATATCATAAATAAAATGATTATCAGATTAATTATTTAGACACTAAAAAACTTACTATCTTTATGATATTGATTTCCATTATCAGATGTTTTTTATCCATTTTTTTATCCATTTTAAAATATAAACATTTAAATAAAACAGAATTAAATAAATTAAAATGATATCTCATTGAAACTTTACCTTCAAGTTTGATTGTTTCTATGTTGAAACTTTACCTTCAAGTTTGATGGTGTTTCTTCCATTGTTGAAACATTGCATGTTTAAATACAACATGTACAATGCCAAAAAAGATCATGAAAATATTTGTTTTTAATCTTGTTTTTAACATTAACTGTATTTCCTAAAGGAATTTAATTATTTAGACACTAAAAAACTTACTATCTTTATGATATTGATTTCCATTATCAGATGTTTTTTATCCATTTTTTTATCCATTTTAAAATATAAACATTTAAATAAAACAGAATTAAATAAATTAAAATGATATCTCATTGAAACTTTACCTTCAAGTTTGAGAATGGATTATAACTTCAAAGATGGATTATAGGAATAAAACATATCTTCCAGGTTGAGGACTGTAGAAAATATAATCATTTTGTTAATATGACAAGGAACTGCATGAAACATTGCATGTTTAAATACAGTGCCAAAAAGTTCATGAAAATAGTTCATCATGTTATCTTTAGATAACAAAAGAAGCACAGTTACTGTATTAATATCACAAATACAAAATGATTATCAGTGTAATTTTTAGACACTAACAGACTTTCTCTTAACAGCATATTCAATTTTGTTTAATACCTGTCAGTACAGCATACAAAAAGATATTAGCATATACAACATGTAGTCCTACATTTTTTGAAAAGCTCATTACCAAGAAACAAAAGTGAAAATGAAAATATATGTATGCCATATATACCACATATTTAGAATCAAAACAAGGATAAACCTTTTGTAGATTCTTACTTTTTCTTTTATTACATTCCTTATAGATCACAATTTAGTAAGTCTGAATTCCATGGGTAACAGACATAATGAATTATGACATTATATCATAATTTATGCAAAAGGACTTATTAACAATATGAAGTTTCCTTAGTATATTTTAGACAAAATAAGACTGTGCTTATATGAATGTTAGAGATATTAGATCACATAAGAATCACACAGTAATTAAATTAATCCATATAATCATGGTTAAATGCAAAGATGACCTTCATAGGAAATGTAAACAAAACAAAGACAAACTTACCAGAATTATCCAATTATATGCCCAATTAAATAATCCAGTGAAATAACATCTCAGCTGATCCTGAAAAAAAGCATACAATATTCAGTGATACACAAATTAACCTCATTTTACAAAGGAAGTAAAGCAACAATTGACAGACAAACAGGACAGAAATGTAAAAGATACCATATATATTTTACCAAAATTTAGTAAACATTTTTTCTGATTTAAATTCAATCACAGAATGACCCATCATAGTAATATTAAATACACTCTGGGTTACATGCAAATTATACCTTACATGAACTGAGAATAAATACCCCATTTACATTCATATAAACTGAATTTTACATAACTAATTACTCTTTTAACTGATGTCACCATTAGTATGTCAGAATATTCAGGGTGTACAAATCATGCATATTCACTTTTAAAGTACTCAATATATATTTTACATGTTGATGTTTGAAATCACTGACTAAATAAAATACATACATGTATATACATGAAGGTTTAAAAAAAAAGGGGGGGACACATGTTTTTAGATTTACAGAGATGCTCAGACTGAGTTTTTCCCACTTTCATTGGGCCACTGTTGCACCAGAATGTAAAAATATGAGTGACAAATAAGGCAAAAGATTCTGTATATTTCATTAAAAAAGATTTGAGACAAAAGATTCATTGGCATAATATGATCTGATTGATTATCTCCATATCCTTCTTTTGGTCACTGTGATTAAATATTCATAGAAATATTAGAAATGACAACTGAGAATATCACTTTAGTTGTTTTAAAAGCATGTATCAGTATTTTATAAGATATGCTAGGAGTCTCCTCATAAGAATATTTAGAATACTGATCCAATAAAAGGAATGTGAGACAATATGATCATAACTCATGCAAAAAAGATTTATCAACATTTTTGAGGATCTTTTAGTGTCCTAGTGTATTTCAGGTCAAACAATGGCAGTGTTTATATGAATGTTCTAAACATAAGGTATATAACACAGTAATAATGAATAAATACAAAGATGACCTTCATAGAAAATGTATAAAGAAAAGTTTGTTAAAACTTACCATGTAACCAGGTAACTCAGTAGAGTAATATTCATTAAATAATCCAGTGAAATAACATCTAGGCTGATCCAGGATTCAGCTGTTCAGAACTTTCTTGGAAGAAAAACGGTAGAAAATCAGTTTTGGTACTGAAATCCATAGGACCATACTGTTATTACATGAAGTCTCAAGCGCTGTGAAAGTCTGTGTTATTGTGTCAAAATAAGCAGCCATCGCGGCTTGTGAAGGACTAACATGACGTCGCTGCCAAGTTTATGACGTCACAATGCATAGGTAAGCATATTTTTTGCACAAGGCCCTAAACAAACTTGAATCGCTGCCAAGTAATACCTGTGTAGTCAGCATAAAAACGTAGGTCTATCGTATTTTTTGCACAGGGCCCTTACAGATGATGCAACAGGTATAAAAGTCGCTGCCAAAATCGTAGTAGCAGCGTTGTGAATCGTAGTAGCAGCGTATATAGTATAATGTAAACACAGTGTAAACACACCCCCCGTATTTAGGGGGATTATATGTACTGAATTGACCCGGCTATCCCCCACAGACCCCCTAATCTGCACTCTCTTGACCCACCTATCCCCCCCAGGGGCTGCAGTCAGTTGACCCGGCTATCCCCCCCAGGGGCTGCACTCGCTTGACCCGGCTATCCCCCCCAGCCCCAAAAGTGCACTCAGTTGACCCGGCCATCCAGGCGCTTTATACTACTAACGTACTGAGCGCGTGTGGCTTTTTCCGGAAACCCTTAATTTAGACTCAGTAAAGGTATAAAAACCAGCACAGAGATTGTATGGGATCGTCATTTTCAGTCAGAACTTTTCAAAAGACAGACGTGTACAAGCAATAATGAATACCACAGATAACGCTAATTATGTGACACCTAAAGGCTGTTTAGTAGCCCCCATGCCAGAGACTAGGATCCTGTAGGGCTGGATTTGGGAATGCATCATTTACCAGACCCGATAACTAAAGAGGACTTGAGTATTACCACCACCACGTTAGAGGACAAGAAAAAATTGAAGTTAGAGTCATTAAAGACTTGGTTTACCTGAAAGGCAAAATGGGTCGACTGGATGCCAAAGTGAATCGACTGAAGCTCCTGAGAAAACCAGAGACACAAGCCCCTGTTTAATCTGCAAACAATTAGGACACTTGGCCCCTGATTGTCCAAAGAAAGACTTATACTACAAATGTGGAAATTTGGGACACTGCCGATCAGCTGTGTTTTCAAAGTTTCAAAAATAAGCAGCCAGCGAGGCAACGAAACAATAGGATAACGTCATAATCAAGATTTGAATCGCAGCCAAGTTTAGGATCTCAGATACATGTAGATCCACGCCTTATACCTTGCACTCCCTTGCACCGACTATCCTGCTCAGGGGGTGCACTCCCTTGCCCCTCCTATCCCCCTCAGGTAGGTACACTCGGTTGACCCCCCTTTCCCTCAGGGGCAAAGTGCACTCAGTTGACCCCCTATCTACACGGTTTATACTACTAGCACTTTAAAAAAAGTGTCATGATTGTTGTTAAAAGTCACATATAAATCAGAGAACATCGCAACCTAATGAATTAAGTTTCTAATGTTCATGCATTTAACACAAATATGAGTATTACCATCCATCCAGTAGGGGTACAATGTTCCGCAGGAAAAAAGGGTGGGTGGAGTCGTTGGTATCTGATGAGAGGTTCCTGCCCGATACCATCTCATGGTAAGATATCTATCGCAAAGAGGAACTGAATCTCCCTCAAACTTTGGACTTCTATTGGATAGTCCAGGAAGCATCATGTAAACACCCTCAGAACAAGGGTCCTGACCTTATAAAACATATGAGTTATGAAGCGGTTTCGGCAAACACGTATCAGGTCCAAGAATTTACTAGTGTTATCCATTTCTTATTTTCCGTGTATAAAAATTCCTACTTCCTCTTGCTTTCATTAATGAAAAAAATAAAGATTAAAAAACAAGATGTGTTTGTGATGCCCCCGTATCTTGGTTTTCAGAATG